GCGATCCCTAACTATCTAAACCAGTACATATTTCAGCTTGGCGATCCTTAACATTTCTGTGGCAATCACCCCACTCTGCTCTTGCAAGGCAACCACAGACAAAATATAAACAAGCATGCATGACTATGTTTCGATAAAACTTTATCTAAGAACTTTAAATTTTGAATTTCATATAATTTACAATGTTTACCCTTACCTATCTACCCATCCATCCATCTGAATCTACATATCTCTCAATTTGATACCCATTTGAGTATATTTAGCGCTGCCTGTGTGTGCATGGGTGTTGGACCATCTCCTAAAACACAGGGAGCCTCTCAGGGCCTTCAAGGAAAGTGACACCCTTCTTCCAGTAGCCATCAACTGTCAATGGCTCCTTAGCTGACACAAGACATGACATCCTCCTCCATCCATGCTGAGAAACAAAATGTTTCCCGAAAACCTTGAAGAGATAAAAGTAAGTACCAGTTCGTAGATTTTGGGCACTTCAAACATGGTGTCTTCAGGTTCGTCGCCCGTGGGTTCGGGCATGTCACGGAGGAAGTCCACAAAGTACGGCTCGGGGAGAATAGTTGACGCAACATCAGAGCTGATGTTCTCTTCGACGGCCCGAATGAGCTGCGTATTGAACCACTGTTCGTCTTCAGGGGTTATAAACCTGAAAGGACAGGCCACTGAAAAGAAGACAGAAGAGAGAGGCAACCTCTCTACCCAACGCTGCACCTTCCCGCCTCACGACAGGAAACACTACGCCCTCCCTTTGGAGAAAGACACAGCCCTGTGGCTTAGGCGAAGTCACCAGGTCCCTGTAACTTGCAGGGCAGTGAGGAGCAGGCACGTGACCCTCACGGCATCAGACTTACAGGGCCACAGAGGGAAGACAGAGAGAGGGGCTGCTAACACAGGAAGGCTCCACCTATGTGCTAGAAAGTCGCAGCTCCCACTCTGTAACCTCAGGAGCCTGGTGGCCTCACCTACATACCACAGTTGAGGAAACTGCAGCTCAGAGAGACGACTGAACTTTAACAGGGTGATATGAGACTCCATCCAGGCAATGGTTACCGATTTTAGAAAATACACAGCTGAAATTCACTGCTAAATTGTATCAGTTCTCAATGGTGAGGTGGCCCAGTAGGGGGAGCTGTTACAGCAGTGTGGGGCGAGCTGACAGAGAACTGTCTCAAATAGATTGGCAAGTGGGAAACATCATGAATACTTCTCAAGCTTCTTTGAAAATTTGTGCACAGAGGCTGGAGAGATGGCTTAGCTGTTAAGGGCCCTGGCTGCTCCTTGAGAGGTCCTGAGTTCAATTCCCAGCAACCACACAGTGGCTCACAGTCATCTGTAATGAGATCTGGCGCCCTCTTCTGGCCTGCAGGCTTACATGCAGGCAGAACTGTGGACAAATTGCTGCACACAAGCATAAAAGCCCTGAGTGTGGACAGCCAAGGTCGTCGTAAAGGCCAGGAGCAGCAGCATGCCCCTTGTCACCCTAGCTGTAGGAAGGCAGAGGCGGGAGAAGCTTTGGTGCTCTTTGGCACATCAGTCTAGCTGAATTAGTCAGCTCTGGATTCAATGAGAGACATCACCGCAAAAAAATATTGGAGAGAGCTGAAAAAGATACCAGGCACATGCACACATGCATGTGTGTGCACACGCACAATCTGAGACAATAATCCTTGTTCCACGGATCTGAGAAGGTAATACAAGTGTTAATCTAGGCATTCAGCTTCTCAGGCCGTGTGTGCAAACCTCAGGGCTGCAGTGCACACCTGTCTGCGATCACTCTGTTACACTCATGCTTGAAGAGGGACATGAGGATGGGGACTGAGCCACACTCCTCGGCTTTTATGGTTAGCATCCCTTGCCAAATTCTGGAAAGATCGCGAAGGTTGAAGATGTAGTGAAATTTCGAGGGCGTTGGCAGCATCTTCACCTGGAGATGAGAAACGAGGTTAATACTCTGTGTAGTTCTCAGCTAAAAATTAAGCATAGAAATGTCCTTTTGACTATTCTATTTTATATACCCTATTTTTAATATTTTCCTTCACTTTTATGTGTTTTGTTTGCATGTGTACGTCTGTGCGCCAGAGACACCAGAAGAGGGCATCAGACCCCAGGACTGGAGTTACAGGTGGTTGTGAGCCACCAGTGGAGGCCGCAGTCAGTGCTCTCAGCCATCTTTCCAGCCCCCAATCACGTATCCTATCTGAGATAGGGCCTGGAGGGTAAATAAACCAAAACCAAGTTCATGTTTTCATCACAGCATCCGTGTCAGAGAAAAATTAATTCATAAATAAGCAACATAAAAAAATTTAAAGCCAGGAATCCTTAAACAGGGTGGACTCAAGAAAAATGTACAGGAGACACCTCCAACTCTTGTCGCACTACCACTGGTCAGCCTCAAGCAAGTCCCTCTCCCGTGAATTCCCAAGAACAACACAAACTGGGGGAGACCATGCCTACTGACGGCCGACCTCAGTAGTGCATATGGATGGGTGAATGGACAAAACCACATGCAGTATGTGGGTTTTCTAAAAATACATGGCTATGTGGACATGAAAATCCATCATAACAAAAACTGAAGATGAACTGGTGATCATGCAGGCAAGAATGATGACTATTCACATTCAGATTCAAATAAGCTACCTTCTTGTGTGTGGTTTATGCATGTGCAGTTGTTGCTGTGTATGCAGGTGCATCTACACATGTATGTACACATTGTGTAGAAGCCAGAGGTTGACATCAGGCATCTTTCCTCTATCATTTTTCCACCTTATATTTTGACACAATGTGCTTGGAGATCAAAACTAGATGGCCGGCGACCCCATAAGGTCCTATGTCTCCGCCTCCCGGAGCTAGGATTACAGGCATGTGATGCCAAGCTTGTCTTTTTACATGGATGCTCAGAATCCATGTAGATTCAGGTCCCCATGCTTGCACAACATACAGTTTACTGACTAAACTGTCTCCACACCCCCAAGTATGTTCTGCACATTGCTCTGATTGAAGCGCCCCCACACCACTAACTCAAGAAATACTCTCTGCAGCACCTGTTCACAGAGGAAGGCTTTTCTGTGTTGAAAATGTACCCTACGGAGTTCGTCAGGTGTTTTTAAAAACTTATTTATTTCTATTTTTTGTGTACAAGCGTTTTTGTCTCCGTGTATATCTGTGTACCGTGTGTGTACAGTGCCCGCAGAGGCCAGAAGCAGGCATCCGATCATCAGACAGTTGTGGGCATCATGAGGGTGCTGGAAACAGAGCCTGGATCCTCTGCCAGAGCAGCGAGTGCTCTTGGCTGCTGAGCCATCTCTCCACCCTGAGTGTCATTCTTAATGAGCTGCAGTTACCTTGGTCCACTGCCACAGCACTCGGCCCACTGAGACGAGGTTCCCAATCATCTCACATATTTCAGGCTTGAACTTTCTACACGGATCAAAATATCCACAGCCAATAACTCCTGGAGAGAAAATAAGACGGAAGGTACACAGTTGGTTTTTTTAAAGGTCACAGGGCACATGTTTATCTAGTGAATGAATCATCACGAGATTGACTACCTAGCAAGGATGAGCACTGTAAGTCAGAGGGGCCCAGCCATCCCTAGTGGCAGTGGGTGATGTACGGACTCATGCCTAATCCTCCCAACAGCCATCCGTAGCTGGGCCCTTAGTCTACATGTATTTCATTTTGTGCTTTGGCATGAGGCAGGGGTCCAATTTTAACAGTTGTCCCATAAACATTACAGACTGTTCCTGTCTCCACTGAAACTCTTCCCCCCTTCTCTTCCGATTTCCAGTGCCTGCCACATCACGCAATCAAGTCAATCTATCCTATATTTCATGATTTTTCATAGTACATGTTATAGATGCCAAATTTGGTACCAATAATCTGAATTTCATTAGCACTTCAAAGCACTAGTTATTACTGTTAACTCACAGAGTGTGTGAAAGGACTGTCACTCACCAGCCAGATTTTCCTGACCATCCATGTGAGGACAAAACACAGAGCTTCCTCTACCATGCGTGCGCTTGTGTGTGTGTGTGTGTGTGTGTGTATGCATGTGTATTTGTGTGCTTGGCTGTGTGTGTGCATGTGTACACAGATATACCCGTATATGCGCATATGTGTGTATGTACGGGTATACTTATATGTAGGTAAGTATTTGTGCGTGTGTGTGTCTGTGTATATGCATATGCATATGTGTGTGTGCATGCTTGGGTATGTGTGTGTTCATGTGTACAGGCATTCCTGTGTGTGTGTGTGTGTGTGTGTGTCCTCAGGCCAAAGGACAACCTCAGCTGTTGCTCCTCAGGTGCCACACACCTTTTCTAAGACAGACTCTCTCATTGGCCTGAAGCGTGCCAAAATGACTACACTGGCTATCCAGCAAACCCCAGGATACTCCTGCCTCTATACCCGGCACAGGGACTACTGTGGGATTGAACTCAGATCCTCTGACTTATATGGCCAACATTACTAACTAAGCCACCTCCTCGCCCCTCCCTCCCTCCTTACGCCACCATCTACAAGGTTCTTCCTAAGTATCTTTGAGTCCTAGAACAAGCTACCAACACCAGTCATCTTAATGCTGGTATTTGGCTGTCCGTTTCAGATACCTCATCCCCATTCCAGACCGACTCTTAAGATTAGCTCTTAGGTAAATTGTTCTATGGTTTGTATCCATTATATGATGCAATAAGAAACTAAGCACTCAGAGTACCCGTACCAAAAATCTTGTCTATAGACGTGTTTGAAGGCAGCGTGCAATTGAACACGGTGAACTGCCTTTTTAAGCGCTGCGGGATATCATTCCGCCCCCCTCCGGGATGGATCATGGCCGCTATGAGCTGCACGTCGACGATGGTGGTGAAGTCCCCAGGCTTGTCCAGGCTGTACATGCCCTCCATCTCCATCATCTGCCGCACGATCTCGTTCGTTATCTGCAACGCCACACATGAGCGTCTCTGAACACGTCACTGGCCCTCAACAGCTCCTTAATCTCATCATATATAGATGAGATTATCGGAGAACATCCGGCTCCTTCCACGGAAGAAGTGTGCTTGTCATTCTGACCACCACCTGCAAGGCGCCTTGAATGAAAGGACACCAGCATCTGGTGGGAGGCCAGTGTGCCCCTCCTTACACTGCTAAAACAAATTTCCAGGTCAGCTTGGGTAGGGGATGCCTATGAAACGCTTGGTGCACCGGCAACAGCGCTCAGAGCGACAAGTTTGATCCCAGACCCCTCCCACACTCACTTCATATCAGAACATGGAGTGGCCTCGGCCCCGAGTCTTCGACACGATGAACTACTCAACATTTCGCTTTGGAGGCTACAGACTCTTCTCTGTAGCTCTGGCTCTGCTAGCGTGTCCCCTTGCCTTGGTTCTTGAGGCACGAGTCTTTCCAGAATCCTCTGATGACTCTGGATCACCCCTAGTCATGTTTAACCCACGCACGCTCACATGTAACTGTTTTCCAGCCCCCCCCCCACTTCTCATGATTCCAGCCACACCACCGCAACTCCACATCCCCAAGCATCTCAAAGCTGTTGCTCTGGCTTTAGCTTCCCTTCCACGCTCCAACTCTGTGTATTCAAATGTATTCCGTTTGGGTATCTCCAAGGGGACCACACACAAGCACCCCCAATAGAACAGTCTTTCATCCAACTAGTATTCAACCACTGTGTGCCAGGCTCTCTTTAGACACACACAAAAATCCATCTTCATGAAGCATGCATTCTTGCGGGAGACAAAACGCACAGGCGTATGCTTATGGGCAAATAAAATACTGTACCATAAATGTTTCGGAGGAAATAAAGCAGGGAGATGGCGCACAAGGCTCCCAGGAGGGGTGTCTTACTATGGAGAGCAGCGGGGTTCCTGACAGGTTGAATATGGGGCAGCTGATTCCTGAATTACAGACGATTCGTCACCAAACAAGTTTGGGCTATTTCAAATCTGACTAGACACCCCTCGAGGAACAAATGAGTTTAGAGCCCAGGACAACGAAGGCAGGCCAGAGCTAAGCGTGCCTCCACCTCTGAGAACTGCTAACGTCCCCCGGCCCTGAGGTAGAGCAGAAGCAGAAAGAACCACACAAGGATTGCTCTCAGGGTGGGCACCGAGCTGCTAGTGGGTCCTAGAGCAAGGGTCATAAAGAGCAGGAACAGGGACAAAGGGCCAGGCCTGGTGAACTCAAGCTAGATGGAGCTCCCAAGGCTGGCTATGTCACTGGGAGCCAATCAGGACACACTGGATGCTGGCCACATCGGTCAGGTCCTCTAATGGGGACCGGCTTGGGGTGACAGATGACGGCAACAGGGATCATGATCTGCAGTGGGTGAGGGAATGGGTGGGTGAGAGGCGATGCTCTGCTGTTCTGTTTGGGATTGGTTAGCTAGCAGGTGGTCATTAGAGAGGGGGGGAAGCAAGGATGAAAGCTGGGGCAAGGCTGGATGGAGCAGGGAGCCAGAAAGGGCATGTAGTCAAGATGCCAAGTAGACATGAAGAATCCTAGCAAACCACAGATGGGTTCAGAAGGAAGAAGACAGAGGGGCTGAGAACTATTAGACTCAATGGGCAGGCGGTTGATTAAGGGAAAACACTAGGCTGGAAGGAGGCTCAGCAGTTGGGGGTGCCTCTTTCAGAGGACCCCATTTCACGTCCCTGTGCCCACCTCAGATGACACACCATCTCCTGCAACTCCAGCTCCAGAGGAGTTACACATCCGCTGCATCAAGCTCCTAAGGCATACCTGATCTCCCCATTCATTGATCACCGGCATATTAATGTCATCAATAAACACAGTCATCTTCCTCCCTCCTGGGGGCCCGTAGGTGCTTCCCATCCTCTTATCCACGTAGCTTTCTATTGTTCTCTAGAGAAAAGAAAGTGGTGTGTCATGGCCACTGGATTTCCATCCTTAAGACCCACCATGTTTTCCAAACAAAATATAATTTACTGTTAGAACCAGGTAAGTTCGAGCATAATTATTAAATATGCACCTTAAATAGCATCAAGAGATGGGAATGTTAACCATCAATACACTAAAACTGACATGCTCCTGAGCCCAGCCTCAGGTTCAACATTAAGCCAAAATAATACTACTTGGATTTGGCTTCTAATTCAGTCATGAGGCGGCAAACTTAGCTATGGAGAGATAGATGCCTTTAAAGAGTAACTCAAGAGTGCTCGTTGCTCTGGCAGAGGGCCAGCTTTGGCTCACAGCACCCACACGGCAACTCAAATGCCAGTTCCAAGAGACCCAGCAACCCCTGCAGGCCTCTTCAGGCACCTGCATGCATATGGTATGCATAAATTCGAACACATACACACACACAAACACACACACACACGCGCACATGCGCACACACACGCACATGCAAATAAAAATCAATCAATGAATCTTTAAAAAGGAAAGCAGACTTAGCTGATGCCAACTGCTAAGCCGCATGTCCGGGGAAACACACAGAGAGCACACTCATTTTACTGGAACCACCGCTTGAAAATCTTTAGCAGGCTTAATATCACCACAGCTAACGACGGCTTCTACCTGAAACATCATCGGCTCTGTGGCAGAGGAGAAATTTAGACTCTTGGAGAGCTGTACTTCGGGGTCGTATTTCTTCAGATAGGCCTTCACCATCACAGTTTTCGCGGTCCCCTGCTCTCCCGTGAGCAAAACAGCCTGCAAGAGTGGAAGAACAGGGCTCAACGGTGCTGACTGTGTTAGCGCCAAAGACTCTATGGCTCTCCCTGCTCTTACTCGCCATCCCATGAGTCGACCCCATGATGTTATTTGTTTTTCTGCAGCCACACCTACATTCAGATCAATCCCAGTGAGGTTAAAGGTAGAAAAGTGTACACAGCAAAATTGGGGTGCTGGTAGAGAATATGGTTGCCTACTTGCATACAGAAGCATCTATGGAAGGTGACACCCACATCCTCATCAGTGGAGACAGAGAGGAAGACCATTTTGGAACCTGGAACCACTGTCAGAAGGGTTCCCTCTCCAGTGACACCCTGTCCGGGCCCTTTTGCTGGGATTTATGTATTCTTCCTGTTGTATATGAGAGGCAATGTGTTTCTTACATGGTTTGGGGCCACCTAAGAGCTCACTACACTTACTTTATGCTGTTTTGCAATCGTGTCTATCAAAAAATTGGTCCTGATGTTGTCAACGTTGGGAACCAAGATGGATGAATACTCTGGAATGCTGTCCGTTGGGTAGAAGTAAGGCTGCAGTCTCTTGTTCCAGTGTTCCCAATCACCTACACGACAGGCAGAATTTCATCTTCATCAACGTGTGTCCTTAGATGCTTATGGAAAGCTATACAAATGTCAAGTGCTAGAAACAATCGCTTAGATCATGCAAAACACTAAAATGCTTTCCTAAAACATCAATACATCTACTTATCTAATGCTCTCCCTTTCGTTCTTGCCAACGGTTATTTGCTTACTCATTTATTCCTTTCATGTGTTTGCATAGCTGTTTGCATATGTATGCTTGTCCATGTGCGTCTGTGCATATGGAGGTCAGAGAAATAACCTCTGGTGTGATTTTCCCTCAGATGGCATTCACCATCGATCTTTTGTTTGTTTGTTTTGTTTTGTTTTTAGACAGACTAGCTCGCTGGTCTGGAGCTCACCAATCACGCTGGCAGCTCAGTGAACATAAAGCACCCTCTCGTCTCCTCTTCCCCAGGGTTGGGGTTACATGCATACACACAACGCCAGCTTTTCTACATCCGTTCTGGGGATGAAACTTGGGTCCTCCCACTAACACGGCAAGCACTTCACTGACTGAGGTTATCTCCCAGCCCACCAGTGGTAATTCATATTTTCCTACATTTCTAACCTCTGATACCTCTAATAACAGCTTTATCACTTTTATTGATCTTTACAAAGAATCATCTTTTGGTTCCGTCTTTTTTCTATTCTAGTTTCATTGATTTCTGCTCGCTGTCCTGTTTACGTTGGGGTTAATTGAAACCTTTATTCTTTTGAGACACAGAGAGCTACAAAGTCTCCCTGTTCTGGATGTTTTACAGTCTGCAGCATTGCTGCAAATGTTTCTTTGCTCTTGAGAAGATGAACTCTGAGAGTGGGCTGCTCCGGAACTGCCAGGAAAGTACAGAAGCAAGGAGCCCGCACCTCGAGCTGCCTCTCTCCCTCCTAGCATGGGCTCGATGCATCAATCAGTGCAATTTCACTGCTTGTGCATTTGCCCATTCTGTTTCCATTCTTTTCTGGCTCCTCCTCTCCTCGCAAGTCCCTCTGCAGTGGCATTCCACCCTGAAATCCTAACCCAGCCGCTTCGGCCAGATCCATCCCTTCTTGTCCTGATGAGACTGGTGGTTCTGGCTGGGTTCCCTAAGCACCTGCTAGAAGTCGCCTTCTCTCATGACTTGGTTCTCTTTCTGCCTTTGTCCAGTGTCTAAAAGGACGGTTCCATACACTGAGCGCCCCACTTGCTGATGTCAAAGGCTACACCCAGACTGGAACTCCAGCTGGTCTGGAAGCAGGGACTTCTAAATCTAAGAAGAGTCTCTCCAAACGTGCTGGTTTCCCCTGATGACGAGAATATACACGTACACACACATGCACACATATATACATGCACGCACACACGATACACATATATACCCATATACATCCACACAGAGGCACATAAATACATACATGCACACATAAAAACACATATGCACACATATACAGATACAGATACACACATACATATTCAAACACATACACACAAACTGAAGGGTGAGCTAATAACGAACTGAGAGCCCTTTACGAGCACAAAGTATGGAAAGCTTTGGTTCACTTCATGGGCACAGATGCTTGGGCATACAAACTTCATCAGCACTAATCGTTTAGAGTGGGAAAACCAGAGAAGGCTCAGGAGATGGCTCAGCCGCTAAAGGAGCTTGCCACCAAGCCTGACAATTTGACTTCAGTCCCCAGAACCAGAGTGGGAGGAAGAGAACCAACTCTCACAACTGTCTTCTGACCTCTACACTCGTACCGTGGCACAATCCATCTGTCCCAATCCTTCCCAGAAGGCCCTTCCAAACACGGATGTGTGCCTAATCCTCTTCCCATTGGCCAGGTTCTCACACCCTCCTCGGTGCCTAGGGAACTCAGAAGCTCTCCCTTCTACCCTTTGCAGGGTCAGGTGGGTGCAGCTGCCCTGCAGCAGCTTTGGAAAGAGACCTAGGAAATCTTTTCTCTTAAAGAGACTGAGAACCAGCCCTGTGATTGCTGGTTCCGCCTCCCCGGTGTTTCCACTTCCTGAGTCCTCTGGAGGTTCCGGGAGATGCACAGCAAATTACCCCTCAACTAGTAGTTAGCGGCGTCCTGCATGTTAAATCAAAAGCCTTGTGCCGACTGCTTTCCTGTCGTCTGGATTCTTTTTATTGCTGGCTTCCCTGCTGTTCTAGTTATCCTTTTGAGTTTATGTGTTCAACGTAAAAAATACCTTTGCTACTCTGGAGGTTTGGGGGAGGACGCAGAGGTAAATATGGGAAACAAGGGAAAGGGTTTATCGTTTTGTTCTCTCAGGGGCTTAGAAGAAGGATCCTGGCTCTGGACAAAGGCATCAAGTTGAAGGATATTTGTTTGAAGGGAAGGTGAGCTGGGCCTGGAGGAATGCACGACACAAAGGCAAGGCCCTGCCCGCCGGATCACTCTCCTCATTCTGACACCGGCACAGACGGACCGTGGGGCTCATTTGTGTGTGCTTCCGTGTTGCTCCCTAAAGCATCAGGAGGCAGGCGCTGAGCCAGGAATTGCTTCTCATGGTGGGTTTTACTTAGACCATCCCAAGTGAAGAAGTCAGGAAGGCCCAGCTTCCAGCCCAGATAATATACAAAATCCTATCTCTGACACATTTTCACAACGGTATTTGTCATTATAGTCCTGGTTGGCTTCGTTCTCAACTCTGAGAAATGTATACCTTAAAGTCATTTTGTTTGAGCGTAATTCAGTTACTTACCATAATCAGTGACGAAGAACTCGTACATGGTCTGATTGGTGCCCTTGGGTATTTCTGGCAGGTCTAACTTGCTTCCGTGACCTCGTAGAAAGACCTCGAGTTTTTCTCTGCTCTCCAGTTCTAAAAGGGCTCCCAAACTCCACATGAGGCCAAACACAAAGAGCTTATGGAGATGCTCCACAGATGAGAAGCCTCCTTCTTCTTTAGAGGGGATTAAACCTTCCAGAAGAGTGAGAGACTGCGAAGGATTTCAAATAAGACCCATTTTTTTTTCCAATTTTAAAATGTTTGAGTTAAAATATTTGAAAGAAGAAAATCAAAAGCGGGAGGGGAAGGGAAACGGAAACAGAACTATCCGAAGACATTGTCTGATGCCTTCTTGACAGCCCCCAGCATTAGAGGACAGATAAAGCTTCAGGGGCTGTGTGACCAAGAGAAGGGATGTGAGCTGGGAACCTGCAAGCATGGGCCGCTGGGTCTGGCTTTCCCACTCTGAAAAGGCAAAGGGCCTCCTCTACGCATGCCCTAAGGGTGCTTCTGGCCCCAGAGTCAGAGGACCAGATTCCAAATTCATCCCTCCTCCTCTGGGAATTCAGCTTCTCAGACCCTCACACTCACACCGCGAAAGATTCCCTAGCCCCTGGGAACTTCCCATTCTAGATGCCTATAAGTGACGGCTGGGTTAAGAGCAAGGGAGGCACAAAGCAAGGCAAGTCTTACTTGCACGATGTAATTACACTCCAGGAGCTGCATTTTGGGGGTCAGGTTCAGCTTCATGAATGTGTACGTATCTTCAAACGCCTTATCATACAGACCCAGGAACACAGTGGCTTCCTGCTGGGTGCGCTTCTTCAGCCAGGCCTGGAGGCAGAGAACAGTACCTGTGCTTGCTGAGGAAGTGCAGAGCCGGGAAGACAGCTCAACTGGCAGGCAGGGCTTGCCTCTCCAGCACCAGGACAAGAGTTCAACAACAACAACAACAACAACTAGGCATGACGGCACATGCCCATGATCCCAGCGCTGGGGAGGTGGAGACAGGCAAATCCTGGAGACTCGCTCTGTCCAGCCAGCCTAGCCTACTTGACAAATTCCAGGCCACTGAGAGACACTGTCGCAAAAATAAAAGAAGTGTGCATGGCAGGATGTCTTGAGCGCAAACACCCAAGGCTGCCTTCTGGCCTCCACGTGTACTCACACATGAGTACCTGAAGACACACGGATACACATGAGCATAAGTAGAATGGTGTAGACACACAGACTCCTGCCTGTTTCCAGCCCCCCACACCCCACCCCGCCCCACCCCTACCTGTTTCCAGGCACCCCACCCCACCCCCCTGCTTCCGGTCCCCACCTGCAGTATAGGCCTCCAGCTGAGGGCCGAACTGCTGATGTACACCATGCCCATCCTGGACACCGTCGCAGGAGAGGCGTTCTCAATGTTGTGCACCTCAAACAGCAGCTTACAGCTGGGGGCCATGGGAATGCGGTCCCCGTTAGCCAGGGTGAGGGTCTTGTTATCATCCAACACCGAGTTTAAATTCTCAATCCAAATGGCATCCACGGGGCCATCGAGAATGAGGAAGATGTTTTCACCTGCAGACAAGGACAGGGGGTAGGGGAAGATCAATCGAAATCAATGGAAATTCGAAACAGTCGTTGTTTATAAGCTTGCCTAGAAAAAGGCAAACTTGGAGGAAGGCCCGTGCATACCCTTTTTAGCTTTTAATGTCTTCCTCCACAGAGTGGAGAAGATTCCATCTGTCCAGTCGTTTGTGGCTGTATCTAGTCGGCCAAACATCTGGGGTGCGGTAATCGCCTTTGGGTTCATCCGCATCTCTCTGTGGGGCCTCCCGCACTCTGTTAATGACTTCATCAGAATAGTGATGACGGTGGTCTTCCCAGAACCACTGGGCCCCAGAGTCATCAGGCCGTGCCGTACCAGCGAGGTCTCATACAACTACACCATCAAATGACACATGGGAAAATGTAGGTTATTACTCTCTGGCTGGCATTCGTACGAGTTCGCTGAAATTTCAAAGGCTTTAAATAACATTCAAGTGTTCTTTGTCTTACTGGCCGCGGGAAGCAAACTGGCGTCGCGTTAAGAAACGACATACGTGATAAAGTCATGACAATGTGGGACTTGAATTACATTTTGGAAATAATTAATGCGGGATGGACTCTTACTCTGCCCCTTGGGCTCTGAGTGCACCTGCAGTGTGGTGATGTCGCCCCCCAGTGGCGGAAAGCAGCATCGCAAAGCCTTCTGGGTCTCCAGCCACACGGCTTGAATTTTTCAAATGCACCCTTGGGAGATGAGGAGGAGGGTGTGGAATTGACAGTCCGGGACGGGACAGCTGAGTAGGGTGCAGTGGAGGGCACCCGCAGCGGGCAGACAGGCTCGATCCCGCCAGGGACTCTCCACCTGGAATCAGAGGAACTTGGCCTTCCTTTCCCCTCCCCCACCCATCCTTCCTTAAGGAGGTGGCACTTGGGAGTTGGAGCAGTAAGTGTTCAGGCAATGCCTGCCCCGGTGCCCACATACAAAGTGCCTTCAGCCTTCCATTTGCTACTAGAAGCGAAAGCATACAGACACTGGGTACACGGGAATGGCAGAGGGGATTCAGATTCACCGAGACATAGGAAGAACACAGCCCAGAGTGGGCTGTGAACATAGCTCAGTCCTAGGGGGCTCGTGTGGCGTTAGATTTTGGTTGTGTTCTGACAAAGAAAGCTTGCCTGGAGATCAGAGGGTGGACCTAGCCACTAGTTAACCAGAGAGGCCAGGCAGTGGTGGCTCACACCTTTGATCCCAGCACTTGGAAGGCTCAGGCCTTTAGTCCCAGCATAATCAGGAGGAGACAGGAATCTAAGGCGGGTGGAGACACGACCACCTTCATTTAGTCTGAGGGTTCATAGAGTCTGGAATGTCCCCATTCGGTCTGAGATGTCGCAGAGGTAAGAAGTCTAGTGACTGGCTTCTCGGCTTCTTTGATCTTTCAGCTTTCACTCCCTTGATATCTGATTCCAGGTTTTTATTTAATAAGACTAATTAGATTCATGCTTCATCCATGCCTGCATACACGAAGCTCACGGCTTTTGACACTCAGTATACGGTGGGATTAGTGGTGTGCATCGGTGATCTCAGCACTCCAGAGACAGAGGCAGGGCCATCCTCAACCACATGGGAAGTTCTAAGCTAGCCTGAGCTAGACATCTAATATAGGTGAACCCTAACATGTGCTCTCTCTCTCTCTCTCTCTCTCTCTCTCTCTCTCACACACACACACACACACACACACACACACACACACACACACACACACACGAGCAAACCCTGAGGTATCAGCTCCCGGTAATACCACCAGAGTGAATGCAAGAAGCCAGCTGGGCTGTTGCCTCCCGTCCCAACTCTTCTCGGATTCTGGTTACCATCGACCTTCTCATGAGGGTTAAGTATCAGCTAGACTAAATGACTGCTGGGTTTCATAAAGGCAGGACAAATGCATTCCTTCTAAAAACAAACATGGCCCCCCTGAGGATTCTTCTTGCAATGATGGCTATCCGGCATTGGTTCAGCATCGACCCTTACATGGAGTAAGTACCAGGGGGTAAGATCTGCCACCGTGGCCCCAGGGGGTAAGATCTGCCAGTGTGGCCCCAGGGGGTAAGATCTGCCACCGTGGCCCCGTTGTGCACTCGCCCGGGAGTTCCCAAGGCCCTCACCTGCACTAACTTGAGGTTCCAGGGCGGGTGGTTAATCAGACCTTCTAGGTTGACCTGGTTGCTCACGGCAGCTTGCAGTTCTACGTAAGTGCTGCTGTCCAGCTGTAACCCCGGAAACAGGTCGTTGATCAAGCTGAGGAACAGGGGCTCGTCTTCATCCACCTAAGATGGCATACATTAACACAAACACAGACAGTCAACAGTAATTCCTTAGCTGAGTAGGGTGTGTGTGTGCGTGGTCCTCGCCGCTTTAGTCCCAGAGGATCATTTCTTAACTCCGAGGCAGGCTTGCACCCTCTGGCACTCTCAGCGCCACCACTGAACCAACCCCTATGGCGCTCAAAATACCTAGGCATTCCACAATCCATCCTTGATCCGTGCTTCATCTCGTTACTTTATCTGCCCCTCACAGGCTCATATTCACGGTAACCTTAAAGTAGGCTATTAATAGTCCCACCACCATGGAAACAGGGTATTGATAGCTCACTTACAGTAGGAAACAGCCCTTACCCTCAATGACTTCGTCCAACAGTGGCCGGACACACCATCAGAACAATGTCCTGCCTTTGCTTTTAAGGACTGGGTTTGAGCAAGCCGATCCCCACCCAATTCCCAACTTCCAGCCCCTTCTCACTTCCTTCTATCCTCTGAAGCTCCCCTGATGATTTTTGTGTTGTTTTAAGATTTATTCTTATTTATGTGTCTGTATCTGTAGGTGGGCATGTGCACCTGCGTGCAGGGACCCACAGAGGGCAGCAGAGGGTGGAGGGCACCCTAGAGCAAGAGTTACAGGCAGTTTTGAGCCACCCGACATGGGTGCTAGAAACTGAACACAGATCCTCTGGAAGAACAGCAAGTGTGCTTAAGTCCTGAGCACTACACACACACACACACACACACACACACACACACACACACACACACACACACACTGATGCTTTCTCGATTGTCAAAGTTCCAAGAATAAGGAACAGAGGGCCTGGCACCGGAAAGGTGGCTGACTATGATCATGGATGAGTCCTCTCGCCTCTCCGAGGTGCCCCTCTCGAATAAGAGACAGTAGGTCAGCCTGTCTCAGGGACACTGAGAGGAGCTAACAGAAAAGCTCATCCGAAGAAGACGTGCAAAAGCCATGACCTCTCCAGAGGCTCTTGGTTAGCTCAGACCCTAGAATGCAGACGTCCTGCATGCCATTCCTTCTCACCCACACACAGGGCTTCACCTGTGCCACGTCACACAGCACAGAAGCTCGACACTGGCTGTCATCGTAACAAACATGAAAAACATGAGGTCACGCCTCTGATTTCTACACGCACACCTGCACACATGCACAGATAGAGAGAGACACACACACACACAAATGAAAGAAACTGTTGTTTAGAGAGGAGGTTTTTTTTAAAACTAAGAGTTAAGGGGTTGGAGAGAGAGAGAGGAGAGAGAGAGACGAGAGGAAGAGAGAGAGAAGAGAGAGAGACAGAGAGAGAGAGAGAGAGAGAGAGAGAGAGAGAGAGAGAGAATAGTTCTCATGATTCCTTGTGAATCCAGAGTTCCAGGCTTAGACTTTATCACCCTGCGAATGGCGTTAGAAAAATCGCACTGCTGGGCTAGGGAGACACACAGTGGGCAAAGGCACTTGCTGCCAAGCTTGACAACCTCAGTCGCTGGGACCCACATGGTAGAAGAAAACCGACTCCCAAAAGTTGTCATCTGACACCTCATGATGAGTCACTCCATACAAGCACGTGTACACATGCACCTGCATACATGCGTGTGCACACACACACAAACAATAGGTGGAAGGTGGCGAAAGAGGTGGCTCATTGATTAAGAGCACTTGTTGCTCTTGCAGAGGGCCACACGGTGGGTCACAACTACCTAGAACTCCAGTTCCTCCAAGGACACTGTGCATACATGGTACATATATAAACATATATTCAGGCAAAGAAAACCTCATATATATATAAACATAAAATTACAATTCAAAAGGAATTTTAAAGGAGACTGGATTGAAAACCTGGAACAGAAGCCCTCTCTGACGGCCTGATTTACTACACACAACTGGCAAGAGGAGGTACTTTCATTGGGTGCTGGTTAGACATATCAACTATCTATTGCATTCAGAGCGCAGCATGTAAAGCTCCCTTGCTAGGTGAGCAGAAAGAAACTAGGCCAGGGTCGAGAGAGAGAGAGAGAGAGTTAGTTCAGGGATATTTACCAGTTTGGAAAGGTTCATGTCTCTTAATCCTCGCATGACCGTACTTAATTCACTGTCCTCTGGCCGGGCTCTTTTCTGAGATCCAAGGGTCCTCAGCACAGACAGGATATTTCTCAGTCCAAAGTCATAGTGGACCTAGGATGGGGAAAGGGAGAACAAAGAAACTTCACTGGGAACTTCCAAGTGCAGGCTCACCCTGTACAGATATTCTGCGGGCATTGCAGAGCGGCTACGCTGCTAAGTGTTGGGAGCGCAATTCTTCTCCCTCTCCTTAGAGTAAAAAAGGAATCATTCCATCAGAGAAAGCAGGGTAACAGGGCAGGATCCCAACCTACGCCTCTTTTCAGAATAAGACAGCCAGATGCAGTCTGAGAGGCAAACAGTAGATTTCAAATGCCCAGCCTCTTGTCGAGGACCCACAGCTGGCAGCTCTAGCTCAGAAGGGTCTGCTGCCCTCTTCTGCCTCTGTGGGTACCAGCACGTACATGCACATACCCATACACACATACACAAAAACAATAACCATGCTGTTACCTGTTTAGTAAGTTGCTCTTCGCAGAGTTTATAGAGAACGTAAAACTTCTGCGCCAAGATAACGTTTTCGAGGAAACCACAGCTTGCAAGTTTAACTCGCATAATGATCTGCAGGTTGACACGGTGAGGCATTTTAAAGCAACTTTACTGGGAGAAAGAGCAAACCACACAGACCACCCGCTTAAGCCCTGACACATACCTGCCTGTCGGGAACCATCATTGCAACCGTTCTGAACTGGATTTTTAAGTTTTCTGGCAGCTCCTGGCGCCCAGCATACCCAGGATTCTAAGAGTTGAAATATATTTAACTTTCAATTACTGGTTCAATTTTTATTTCCTGGATATGAATACATTTCAGGCCCCTAATTCAGATTGTAAGGCAGTGCACGGAAATATTAAATATATGGAATATGCTCACTTTCTCAAAAATGTGAACTGGACCATCCATATTTAATAGCATTTCATATCATACCTTTTTTAATATATCCATTTTCAATTTGTTATTAAAGCTATACACAGTTTGGCAAAAAAAATCAGGCATCTGTGTATCTGCTGGTTTAAAATATAGAAAAGGGAAAAACAGCTTAAAAATAGACCTGAGCAATTATGATCTAAAGTATGATATTAGAAGAGAGGGGCTGGAGGGGTGACTGAGCAGTTAAGAGCACTGGCTGCTCTTGGAAACCCAGGTTCAGTTTCCATCACCCACATGGTAGTTCACACCATCTGTAATGGTACCAGTACCAGTGAGAGGTGCTGTTTCAAAAGGTGATTAACACGGAAAGACTTCACAGGCCCATACATGGGGGCATGTGCAAGCATACACAGCATGTACCTGCATACACAGCACATACAACAGCTAACTTCTCTTACCGGCTGTGTAGTGTGAGCCTGATATACCTTACCTAGAGGCTCTTACAGCTCTAGGGTGAGACAAGGGGCATTTGTGGGTCGTCAGCCTCACTTCCTTCTCCTGCCTATATAACCACACCCACTCTCTAGACCACCTTGAAGGTGGATGCAGCTTGCCCCATGAGACCTGTGTGTGTCCCTCCTGGGTGGAAACTCTAAGCCAAAGCATGGTTATTCATTTTCTCTTTGCTATGCCATGCAACAATGATGCAAGACAGTGACCACCTGATCGGCCTAATACCAAAGTAAGGAAGCACAAAGCTGAGCCCACCCCAGTCAACCCATATGGACAGGAGGCATTGAGGAGAAAAGTTATCTTCTTGGTTTTAAGAAACTCACATCTGCAAGAGCCGCTCTTATAGAGCGCTGGGGTTCAGTTCCCAGCACCCACACTAGACATCTCATGACTACCTGCAGACTTCAGCTTCAGGGTATATGACGCCCTCTTCTGGCCTCTGTAGGTACTACACTCACATGCACACAGTCACACATCAGCACACATAATTAATTTAAAATAAGCCTTAAAAAAAAAAAAAGAGAGAGTGAGTCCATGACTTTTGGCTAATTTATCCTGTAATACACAAACTCATCTATTTATATCTGCAACAATTAACAATTTTCTCATGTTCTCACCATTGTCAGGAAGATCCCAAATTCCGGATTCAAATCTACACAATCGCCATCGGAGAAAATGAACTGCTTTTTCCTCTCTTTCCTTGCTGTCAAAACTATGTAAATTTGTTGGGCCGCCACAGATAAAACAGGCAATTCGATTCTGTTAAACTCATCAAAACAGCCCCAGGAACCCGACTGCGCGAGACCTGGCAGGAGAAATGGTTAATTTGCAAAATTTCCTTTTGCGAGGCACCTTCTTAAGAGCCATCGTGTCTCCGAAGGGCTCCCCAAAAATTATGCCTAAGCACAAATTTATGTAACGTTTCACATTGGGCTGTTTAGAAAGGCATATTTCATCCTTGTGACAGGAGATGTTTAATTATTTGCATATCGTCCCCAAACACAGGGAACTCAGTACCAAAGGAAAGTGTGACAACGACGTTGTAGGCAGGGGTCCTGAGAGGTGGTAAATCAGACCCTGCCTGTGAGGACCACGGCCTTCAATTAGGATGGAGAGGAACGGTTCTCCAGGCTCTGGGGGGAAATGGCAGAATATGGGCTGTCTCTCAGCAGGTCTGATCTCTCCGTGTTCTTTCATTACAGAGCGATAGGAGTGTCAGGTTGCTGGATGAGATGGCCAGAGGGGTTTTATGTATTTCTTACAGAACCAAGCACAAAGGCAGGCCTGGAGATCAGGAGCACTGTTCCTTCCCGACTCTCCAAGGATGGGCGCCGTTATCACCTGCAGCTGTATGAAATGCTTTATTTCTTCCGCCGTTATTTGCCCAGTCTTTGCTCTCGCCCTTGGGGACGCCCATTCTAAGGATGTTGGGATGTTTAGGCCCATAACGTTTTTCTGTCAAACCTTCCATCTCCTCATCTTTTTGTAAGTCAAGACAGAGCGGGTTTTTTTTCCCCCCTGTAAATTCTCCTTGTCTTCTCAATTGTTATTTTTTTTCCCCCTGGTTTCTTCAGTCGGCTAACGAGTATAAAGACCTCAAATGTCTCTGAAGCTATAATTTCACTGAGTTTATTGAGTTTTCTTCTGTTTCCTCTTTAATTCAGCTTCGCAGTCTTTATGCACTCTCTCCTCTCTGTGCATGTGTGTGTGTGTTTTCTTCTTTGAGACAAGGTCTCATGTAGCCCAGATTTGTCTGGAACCCACTCTGTAGCCAAGACTGGCCTTGAACTCCTGACCCTCCAGCCTCTACCCGTGGAATGCTGGGATTACACATGCACAACCACACACTGCTTATCTGGTACTGCGGATGGAGCTCAGGGCTTCAGGCACGCTAGGCAACGCCCCTATCATCTCGACCCCGGAGACTCATTATTCTGGACACCGCCCTAAGCTCTTCTGGTCATGTTGAGCCAACGGGTTTTTACTGCACTATTGTCTTAACACAGATGCAAACTCCTGTTTGAGATGCCTGCCTCTGGGGCCTTGGAGGAAGGGATGGGAAAGGCAGGACAGCTCCCCTGACCCTTGCAGGGGCCCCATTCAGAAAGTCCTCTGGCAGGACTCCTATTTCAGAGAGCTGTGTTAGTTACACCAAGTCAGACTGAGCGCTGACACCGATGTGCCCTTGGAGGTGTTTTCTCCCTCAGTGTCAGCCGAAATCACTTCTTTGTAACTGTGCTTTTAGAAAAACCCTTCCATTTCAGTGGGTTTTAGCCCAGCAAAGGGAAGCTGCAAGTACCAATCTGCTACGAAGACTAGCTCTCCTCCACTTCTGTGTGACTGTTACAAATTGATTCTGTCTTCAAATTCCAATACACATTCAATGTACGCAACATAACATGATCAGCAGTATTGAGCCACCCTGAATTTATGCTAATGGGTCACTTTTAATCCAAAATGCCGTACGATATAAAGCAACCGAGCCTAATGATGATAGTGTCATTTAATATTTATATCAAAAATACCAAAGGGCGATGAAAAATGAACTCACCAAAACTGAGATACTTGCCTTTGAAAATCCTTCCCAGGCCCCGGAAATCCATCTGATCCGAGCAGTTGAACACAACCACGTACTTCCCCAGACACCTGCCCATGTCTTTGGTGGTTTCCGTTTTGCCCGTCCCGGCGGGTCCTGCTGGAGCCCCGCCCATGTTCATTCCCAACGCCTGAGCCAGCGTGATGTAGCACCTGAAACCCAGGAAAGAACCGGCCAGGGCTCAGAAGGGCCTGTCCGGCACAGAGCTTGGATGGCCCACGCGAAGCAGGCCACCAGACAGAGTGGGATGGGAGAAACCAAAAGGAAGCTGAACACACAAAACGGTCCCGCTGTAATTTTACCCGGAAGCGAACTCCATAGACATGGCAGCAGTAAATCCGCAGACACGTACTGAGTGCTTTCCGGGTGTGGCAAACTGAACCGAGAGTGGTGGGGGATGTGAAGGTGGAAAAGATTCGCACCCTGCCTGGCACAGGACCCATCTTTGACTGAGGCAGACTCAGCCAAGAAACTTTAAATCAGTTTCCACATCTGAGAAACTGAGAGATTAGCAGACTGTGGCGCTGCACTCCTGCAAGACTCAGGAGGCAGAGGCAGGGGCATTGCTGTCAGTTTAAGACCAGTCCAGGACAAACAGCGAATCCCATGCCAGCCAGGGCTACATCGTGAGACTTTATCTCAACAAAAACAAAACAGGCAGAGTGTGATGATTTCCTTCCTTTAATCTCAGCACCCTGGAAGCAGAGGCAGGGGGAATTGCTGTGAGTTCCAGGTTAGTCTAGTCTACATAAGTGTCAGGTCAGTCAGGAGTAAACAGTGAGGCCCTGTCTCAAAAATAAATAAATAAAATAAATAAAAGAACAAAATCCAACAAAAACTGCAAACCCAGCAGACTACACTGAACACTATCAAAGGCGCTTTCCTTTTTGCAATGTTATTAACCTCCTTTATGGTTTCGGGGCATTTTCCCTTCTCACAACCTCTCAAAATCATTATTAAATTACTCAAAGCAAACACTCAATCTTGATTTTATTCTTTAGTCTGTTTCTACTTCATAAAACATTAATGCATGTGTTCGTGTAAGCAACAATGAGGGTTATTTCAATGTTAGGCTGCATTTGATGGCCCAGCACAGACCCAAAAGGGCACCAACACGAGTTTATGAATATTTCAGTGTGGTTTTTTTAAAGATAGTCTTAGCATGTCATTTAATTACCAAGTATAACCACGAGTACCGAGTTTCCTACCTGTCCGTTAACGGGGTGATCACAAGGCGATCCGTGCAGCCGAGAAATTCGTTTTGGTAAATGAAATCAACATCTGTGATGGACACCACAGTCTGATCCAAATCTTCCTTGAAATAAAATCTGCTCTGTTTCAGCCACTCAAAGTCAGTAACTGACTTGATGTGCATTTTCACCTTGAAAACCCAAAGCATGGAAAGTGACGAACTGACTGCAATAGCCCGGAACCTCAGCACGTGGGTGGTTGCGAGTCACTTGCGAGTAAGCTGGCTAGTCTCCATTTAACAGGATGTATTGCCGGCCTTCTTGTGCTGACACCACACTGGGTGAGCACAGGGAGACACGGGGTTTGCTTTCTGGAGCTTACCAAAAAACGGAAGAGTGGGGCAAAGTCAAGAACTTTCAATGAACTACAAACCGCATTGCTACAGAAAGTCAAGGGAGATGGTTCGGCAATTACGAGCACGTGCTGCTCTTGCCAAGGACCCAGATTCAGTTCCCAGCACCCGCACAGTGGCTACAGTTCCGGGGTTCTGACTCCCTCTTCTGGCCTCTGTGGGTACTGCATGCACACGGTGCCCGCCTGCACGTGACGTGATGGACTAGCTTCCTGCTCCCGCCATGGTGCCAGGCCATACCTGCCTTCACAGACTCTAACCATGAGCTGAAATAAACCCTGCCACCCCTTAAGCCACACTTAGCCATGGCATTTTATCACGGCCATAAAGCAGCAAGCAACACAGGAGCTAAGCAAAAGCACAGTGTGTGTCTTCCGCTTCCTGGTTGTGGAGCCACAGGATCAGCTACCTCGAGCTGCTCCCTCCCTAGAGACGCTTTCCTGCCAATTCCACTGAATGCTGAGGACTAGACAGTGGCCACCCACATTCACCAAGGCTTGCTACCACTCAACTTGAAGTTCTCCTTTCTCAGCTGGTCCGCCACAACTCACCACCTGTCCTGACTAAACCGTGTCATGCACTTGGACATTTGTTTGGGAGAGCAATTAATTCTTAACGAACTAATTGGTTCCAGACTTTTGAAAACAGTACATGGAAAACACAACCTTATATCCTCCATTACCACTCGTGTGTCCTTTCGCCTGTATCCTGTCTTTCCTCAGCTAATCACACTTTTCCTCAGACTTTTTCTCAGTGTTATCCTGTACTTAAAGGTAATTGTTGTTCTGGTTTCAATTATGACAGTGTCTTGTTTTGTTTGTGTGTGTGTGTGTGTGTGTGTGTGTGTGTGTGTGTGTTACATAAATCCATTTAAAAAAAACATAATTGGGGCGCTGGAGAGATGACTCAGAGGTTAAGAGTACTGGCTGCTCGTCCAAAGGTCCTGAGTTCAATTCCCAGCAACCACATGGTGGCTACAACCATCTGTAATGAGATCTGGCGCCCTCTTCTGGCCCGCAGGCATACATGCAGGCAGAACATTGGATACGTAATAAATAAATCTTTTTAATAAAATAAAACATAATTGACAGCCAAAGTTTAAACCCTAAGTGAAGCTCCATGGCTTCGGAATGGTCTTTCTACCTCTACAGAAAGAAGCGCAGGAAAAGGCACTGTGTTTGGCACTGAGCAGTATTTCTCTGAGTGGTTTCCTTAACCGAGCTGTGTGATGCTTTTGTTTGTGACTTTAGTTCTGCACGGTGACGCACGCCTTTCATCCCAGCACTCAGGAGGCTGAGGCAGTGGAGTGTGTGAGTTTGAAGCCAGCCTGGTCTACAGAGCGAGTCCCAGGACATCTAAGGAAACACAGTGAGACCCTATCTCAAAAACGTGTGCGTTCATTTCAACTAAGTGTTTTAAAAACACACAACAGCAAAAGGAACAAAACAAAAAAATTAGAAACCAAATTTTTCCGACGAATAATACATGAAAACACACGCATGTTGTTTGAAGCAGCCAGGGCACCTACTCAGGCGTAGACATTTATGAAAAGGGCGCACGAGGAACTAGAGCGCACGCCAGTTCATCATTCTGGATAACATCCGAGACTAAATCACTTTGACAAGGCAGGGGCGGGTGGGCGGGGGGGGGGGGGATACTTTACCAAGTCATCAAAAATGTCTCTCTGGTGTACGTGGATGGTGATCAAAGTCTCAAACTTCACTCTGTCAAACTTGCTCAGGTCATGCGTCGTCTGACTGATGAGAGTATTCAGAATATCCAGAAATTTCTGGTTGGTAATTTGCATAATTTTCCTGTCATCCTTTGCGTTGTTTAAAGCCTCCTCTGAGTCGTGCGTCCACAGCATCTGGATGCCCAGAAGCCCAACCTGCAGGCGCACAGGGACAGCATGTGTGCAGCTCGTTCCGGCTGCCGCTTATTCGCATGCAGCAAATGGGGTTGGTTTTCTGAAGCATTAAATAAAAATCCTGTTTGTGTGTGTGTGTGTGTGTGTGTGTGTGTGTGTGTGCGCGCGCACACACACACACACACATACATAAAACATTCTAGGAGGAAATAGGATAAAATATAGTCATCATTTCTAAATGGCATAAATTAAGTAATTTTTATCCCTATTTCATAGTTTTCAAATTTTCCCAGATTTTCATATCAATGCTCCACTGCATTCATGATCTTTAAAAATAGGTTCTAAGAGAAAACAGAGATGGGGTATTAGGCAATTTTTTTAAATTAACTTGATAGCAGGCAGATTTCATCTGTTTGAAAAAAAAATGCTCTACAGGAATAACACTGGAAGAAACCCGGGAAGGCACGCAGCGCTTCCATTACGTCCTGTGCAATTCCTCCACTGCTCTGAACTGCAGCTCATGCCCCTCCGAATGCTAATTCCCCAGCCTGAGCGAGCCTCAAGAATACATAGTGGCCCGTGCTTCCCAAGGAGAGAGAAAAGTCACCTTAACCCTAAGAAGCCCATTTTTCCCAGCTTACCAAGGAAAACTTGCTTTTAATCTTTAACAAAAGCATTAGACATTATCAAGGCAACTAAAAAGCATTAAAGCCGCAGCATTAAAATCACCTCTGCAGTGGCGGTTGATCCTTGTCTGTGCTTATACAGGTTGAATAATTAATGTCCAATCATTTTTAGCTGTCTCCAAAGTGTGCTCATTAATTCAGGAACTAATTGGAGTTCAGCTGGGGCAGGAAGCAAAGTTAGGACAAAACTCTGTCGTTTATTTTTCCCTTTGGGAATCTCTTCTAGCTTGTGCTGTTTAAGAAGAGACTGAAAACCACTTCTCATTTGTCCTGCGTGAAATCTTAACGGGACTGACAGTTCTTTATTCCCTAAACTGGGGTTAAGCGGTACTGGACACATCACAGGGAGCTTGTAAGGGATAGGAGCCAGGAGAGCTGTTGCCAAGAACACCCATTCCCTCCCTGACAAGACCGGACGCATGCCAGGAGAATGTGTGCTTAGTTCCCCTACGCGTGCCCATCTACAGCCCTATCCTCAACCGTCCTTAATGCTGCGGCCCTCGTGGAATAATCTTTTCGTGCACTGTGAAGACAAGTCACTCTGGTTGGTTTAACAAAAGGCTGAATGGCCAATAGCTAGGCAGGATTTGTGGGGCAGAGAGGAGGCTGGGAAGAAGGGAGGAGTCGTGAGGAATGCAGAGCAAGTAGCATGGGCTTTACAAAGCGAAGGTAAAGAATGAAGACAAACAGATATGGGTTATCTGTTATCTAGGTCTTATAACTTAATAAGCCCAAGCTATCAGCCAAGCCCTCATACTTAATAAGCAGTCTCTGTGTCATGATGGGTAGCCAATGGTCCTGACGACAAAGTCCAAATACATGTGACCCTTTAATACGGTTCGTCATGTTGTGCTGATCCCCAATCATACAATTATGTTTGCTGCTAATTCACAATTGGAATTTTGCTACTGTTATGAATTTCAATGTAAATGTCTGATACGGAACTCCCCCAAAGGGGTTGCGACCCACAGTTTGAGAACCACTACTGATCTTTAAGATGAAATTTTCCATTTGCTGTTTGAGTCTTGTATGTCCTTAAGAACAAGAGGCCGGATGAGAGGACGCACGCCTTTATTCCAGCACTCAGGGGGCAGAGGCAGGTGGATCTCTCCGAGTTCCAGGCCAGCCTGATCTACAGAGAGGGTTCCAGGACAGTCAAAGCTACACAGAGAAACCCTGTGGGGGGATGGGGGGGCAGCATGGTACGGACAGCAGCCCACACCCATCAGGCCCAGCATAGCCTCCCTCTATTTCCACATCTTCCCGTCATTACTGAGCAGTGTGGCCCTCACCTGTGCTGGGAAGTGGTGGAGGAAAGGTAGCAGGAGAAATCCCGAATCACTGATTTGATAGAAGGCAGACCGGATTATATTATGCAATGACGACATCTGGACTTTTAACAAGTCCAGAAGCCAAATCTCTACGGGACCTTTGGCCATAACTGAAGTATCCAACTAAAAAGAAATTATGAATATGTAATAAATATTAATATGGTATTTTTATAAACTGTCACACTTGATACATCCTAGTACTGCAACACAGAATAAACTCTCCTATAGTTCACATCAAATATTCGTTGCTTAACTTTGTGTGAGTACTGCATGCATGTGTGTGCATGTGTATTTAAATGAGTTCACCCATGCATGTGTGTGCATATGTGTATTTAAATGAGTGCATCCATGCATGTGTAGTGGCCCCAGCTTCAGATTTTTGTATTTTATTTTATTTCTCCCCCACCCCATGTGCCTGTACGTGGGTGCCCAAGGAGGCCAGAAGAGAGTGTTGGGTGTTCTGGGACTGGAGTTATAGGCACTTATAATCCACCTGATACGGGTGCTGGGTACCCAGCTCAGATCCTCTGAAGGGCAGGCAACACTCTTAACCACTGAGCCATCTCTCCAGCTCTCTATGCAAAATACTGAAAGCATGGGTAAAATAAATTAAAAGTATGACTAGAAGAGACTTTAGAGATCATGTAGTCTAAACGCTGTTACTGCTGATAAAATGAGTCTCAGAGAAGTTAAGTGACTCACCTACACTACTTTATAATACAACTAAAGCTACAGAATTAGACCCCAAGATTGCTCACCCTAGTCCTCTTATCTGTTCTTCTTCATAAGCCAATTGCATTCTCCTCAACCTAAATGGTCAAGGAAATCCTAGCAACAAATTTTTTCAAAAAAAATAAATTACCATAATTTTTTCTCCTTCTCTTGATATAACAGCCATCATTCGATCGTAGTCTTTGGAATGAAATGTCACCTCGTTTATGTTGTCAGACACTGCAGGGAGATGTGGCTGTAAGAGACAAGAGGCAGAGCCAAAATATCATACATGGGGTCAAACATGCATGCAGTAGTCATACATGTAAGCTACTGAGATGCCTTTTAAAACCTTAGCAGAGGCTGGAGAGATGGCTCAACAGCTAAGAGCATTTCCTGTCATTCCACAGGACTCAAGATCAGTTCCCAGCATCCATACTGGGTAGCTCTCAACCACCTGTAGCTCCAGCTCCAGGGGCTCTGGCGCTCTCTTCTGGCCTCTGTAGCTACTGCACCCATATGTGCATATACATACACAAAATTATAAACAAGATCATTTTAAAGCATAAGACTTTGGTATTTTTTATCTTCATGAAACACAAGAGAATCTATTTTCTTAGCTCAAAAATGAAAATAAAATGGTAATTAAAAAAAACAGCAATAGAGACTACCACAACCCTTGATTAACTTAAAGGCGCATGGTTTGCTGAAAACAGTTAGGTTAGCTTAGAACTCACTATGTAGTCCAGACTGGATCCTGAACTCTGCTCCTCTTGCCTCAGCCTTCTGAGTGCTGGGATTAAAGGTGTATGCCATGATAACCAACTTTGGCCCACTTTTTAAAATCCTATGATAATGTCCCCGAGTCTAGAAATGTCACTTCTCATACTACAGACTGGCTCAGTGAGCATCCCTTTGTGCTCCCCAGATGGAGACTGAACCGTACCACCCTAGCCTGCTTCCCTGCCAGGCACGGGTCCCTCTCACTTTCTCTCTCGACTGTCTTCTCCTTTTACAGATCTCACACATTACAAGTAAGGAAACCAAGACCTTGGTGACATCACATGGTTAGTGAACCGGGACTGTGTGAGGGCAATTGGCTCTAAGACCATACAAAAAAGGACATTTTATCATCATACTTTGTATGGGTGTGCAGATGTGTATTCATGTGTATGCATGTGTGCTGCCCTGGGTGCTCAGAACATTACACGTCATACCTCAAGTACTAATCATTCCTGTATGGTGAAACAGGGCCTGGAATTCACCGAGTCAGCTAGGCTAGCTAGCCAGCGAACCTTAGGGGTCTGTTCATTTCTGTCTCCACTGTGCTGGTATTAAAAGAATGCACCATTGTTCCCAGGACTTTCTTTTAATGTAGGTTCTGGGAATAGAACTTGGGTCCTCATGCTTGTATGGCAAGCCACTGTACCAACTGAACCATCCTCCCAGCTGTACCATCAGGATTTTTGATTCTCATCCTTCTTGCCTTGCACTGCTAGGACACGAACTCTATCTCTGTTCTTAATTACAAATCCCGTGGACAAAGCAGCTTAACCCCAGGATGTTTGGGTCCTACCTGTATGGTGTGGGAGTCACTGGCCTGTCCGAGGATTTCCAGCAGAACTGGGTCAGAGACAAAGAAGAATCTCGGAAACAGCAACCGCTTCTTCTCCAAATACCTTCAAACAGTCAAGAGCATCTTACTGAATGATTCTTTGGTTTGAATTTATTTACTTTTATTTCATGTGCATTGGTGTTTTGCCTGTATGTATGTGAGGGTGTCAGATACCCTGGCACTGGAGTTGTAGACAGTTGTGACCTGACAAGTGAGTGCTGGGAACTGAACCTGGGTCCTCTGGAAGAGCAGCCAATGCACTTAACCACTGAGCCATCTCTCCAGTTCCCCCCACACCTGGGTTTTTTGTTTGTATGTTTGCTTTTGTTTGTTTTTTTTGTGGCCGATCAGAGAAAAGCAAACACCAACAGACATTTCCCATTGGCTTCTGGGATACTTGGTGAGAACCAGAGTCTAGCAGGGAAGGCACTTGGGGGTAAAAACAAGAGGGTTTCAAAACAATAGAGGGAAGGTGCAAGGCCACCTTTGATATCTGTCACAATCTTTTTTCTAGTCAGGAGCCCTCCCATGAACCTTTCTTAGAGTACTGGGGGCATTCATAGCTTAAATTTGGGATTTATTATCTCCAACCCAGGGCATTCTGAGGATGAAAGGGAGGCCACCTATTGTGAGGCTAAAGCAGAGGGACAAACCTGGCCAAACCAGAATACGTCATCGCCATACTCTAAAACTGAGAATGAACTCTGCTTTAATTTTTAAAAGCTTCCAGAAGTGTCTTTGGAGAAAAAAAGCACCCATACATTTGGTGAGCCATCTCTTCTCCTACTGCACACCTCCACTCCAAGCCCAAAGTGGGTTCAATCTAATCCCCTAAAAGAGAAGTCTACATACCCTGGAATCTGTAAACGGGACTTTATTTGAAAGAGGATCTCTGAGGGTATACTGAATTTAAAGATCTTTTCTTAAAAGAGAATTGTTTGTATTTTAGTGTATGTCCCATGATCCCGAGGAAACAATGTCCTATACACAGTACACTCAATAACAAGTGCCCTCCTAAGAGAAACAGAAGAAATGAAGGCCACATGAGGACACAGGCACCGGGGTTGGGACACAAGCCTGAGAAGCCCCAGGGCTACTACAGCTCCATCACAAGCTCCAGGGGAGGCTGACACCTCTGGCTGACAGACCTGGGACTGAATCAGTGTCTGGTGCTTGCCGTGATTGGCGCAACAGTCCCGGGAAACTAACGTGATGCTTTCGCCCACCCATTCCACCTTGTTCTTACTGAAAAATCGAAGGTAAGGGAATTTTAGGTTCCTATTTCCAGTTGAACCATCCCTAGAAAAACCTGAAATGCAGACAGAACTGGGTAAGTGGCTTGGGAGGAAGCATGATGTCCAGAAGGCCCGACTCTCACCCGGTGAGGGACTTCTGACAGACCTCCAACTGCTCGTGTAAGTGGGGCAAAAGTTGCCCCATGGTCTCATCCCCGACGCAGCAGCTGATCACGTTGGGGTTCTCGTGAGCTCGCTGCATTATTTTGACCCACGACTTGTCAATATTCTGGAAACGTTTGGCTTCCTAAAAGCAAATCCGTAGTTAGGTAAAGATTAGCATCCAGATAATTGAAAAGAGCAAGCGCTTCACTTCCTAATTCCTTCCAGTCCTTCAAACCCAGCCCATGTTCATCTCGGGCTACATCATTTAGACAAAAAATTTTTTTTCTTTTCTTCGTCTGAATTCATTTTGACAAACGAGACCCCAAACCTGCAAAGCCGCTTATTAAAATGCCGCTTGATCGCAACGGGGTTTATCACTTATTTGTTTCCTTGCATTTAATATAGTTTTGAAGTGCCACATGATTAATTCGCGGAGCTATCAACTTAAAGTTCAAATCTAGTCTTTCGGCACCCCAGGTGTTTTGGTTTGATGAGCAAACTGAAGAGGCAAGGAAGATAATTTGATCTCAGAGTCCTTGGAATAATCACAGCCCCACAGTACCTCAGGGAAAAGGGAAGGAGGAGGAGGGACCAAGGAAATCACAAAACAAAGCTTCATTTGCATACTTGCAAATAAATATTTCCTTGGTCCTGTGGATGATATTAAATTTTTCGTCCAAGTGCAAAAATGCCTCTGGAAACTGGCATAATTTCATCTCTTTTTAAAATGCTGTTTCCTAATTAAAAAAACAGACTTTAGGATTAGGTTCTACAACAAAATGTGTCACAAAGAGAAACTGAGCTGTTTTCATGCTTTTTATCCTTGATCTACAACCTGCATAGATCCTGTCTATTTAGGATGAGAAGGCTGAGTTGTAAAAGAGGGAAGTTACCGTAAGAGTAAACTATTTGTTACTGACTTTTTTTTTTTTTTTGGTCTCAGGAAGCCTACAGCTGGCTTTGAACTCACCATATATCCAAGGGTGACCTGGCTTTCTCATCCTCCTCCTTCATCTCCTCCTTCATCTCCTCCATGCTGGGATTGCAGCTATGCACCAGCATGCATGATTTATGTGCTACTGGGGATTGAACCCAGAGACTCACAAGTGCCTGGCAAACACTGCACCAGCAGAATCACCTTCCCCGTCTATTTAAAGGCTCCACACAGAGGTGTCTCACCACGCATTTCTAAACTGGGTCTTCCTTCACACTGTTTACTCCCGGCCTGCTAGTCGTGGGTTTATTAATAGTTAATCTGTACTTAACTAAATATAGATTAATTTTAATACTATTATTCTTAGAGATAAAACAATAGCTTGGTGGTAGTCTATTTGAATGCATGTTAACCTACTCAATCTCAAGACTCCACCATTGGAAACTATGGATTTTCTCCTTTCTACTAGTGTGAACTAGAAATCAGTGCCCTGTGTTCTCTGTGTTCTGCGGGAGAATTGTCTGTATTCTGTCAATCATGTTTTAAATAAACGCTGATTGGCCAGGCAAGAGGTGTAGGTGGGAAAACCAGACAGGAAGTGGAAATGATGCAAGGAGAGCAGGAGAATTCTGGGGAGGAGGAAGTTGATTCCTCCCACTCCTGCCCAGATCACCGAAGCAGCAGGATGTGAGCTGCCCCAGTGAAAAAAGTACTGAGCCACATGGCTAACATAGATCAGAAAAATGGGTTAATCAAGATGTGAGAGTTAGCCAGTATGAAGCCTGACCTAATGGGCCAATCAGCATTATAACTTATAGAGATCTCTTGTGTGACTTTACTTTGGGACTAAACAGCTGGGGGGCCGGGCAGGACAGAAACACAAACAAGCCAGCCCCCTTCATGTTACAGTGTTCCGGTAACATTTTAAATTATTTTTAATTTTAATTATGCATACAAAGGGGAGTGCTGGCTGTGAGCGCCTACGGAAGCTAGAAGAGGATATGAAGTTAGCAGTGTGTCCACCTACTTAGTTGTCAGCCACCTAACGGAGCTGCTAAGAATAGAATTCAGGTTTTTTGCAAGAGCAGTGTGTTCTCTTCACAGTGGAGCCGGCTCTCAGACCTAAAACTTTATTTCTAGACAACCGTCTGGGTCATCATTTGCCAACCCCTGACATGATTTAGCAAAACCTGACCACACGAACCAGAGAGATGGTCAGTGTGTGAAGATGCCTGATGCCAAGGGGGATGATGTGGGCTCAGTCTCCAGGACCTGCATGGTAGAAGCTGAGAACTGACTCACATGGCTTATCTCCATGTGTGTAGCATGCTGTCATGTATACACACACACGCATTTGTATGTACACACAAAGTAAATAAAATGTTAAAAAAAATTAAGACCTGGCCATATATCTTTGGGAAGATTTTCATAGATGACACCAAATATTTTTTGAATAGCAATAGGGATTGAACATAGGTTTTCATGAACGCTCGGCAAGCGCCGTCCCACTGAGCTGTAGCCCCGGCTGTCTTTTTTATTTTCATTCTGGGAAGGGTCTTACACAGTAGCTTAGGAAGGGAAGGCCTTCAACTTACAATTCCCCTGCCTCACACTCCTGAGCAGTTGAGTTCACAGGCCTGCACCGCCAGGCCCAGCTCACAGATAATTCTATAAATAACTGCAAAAGCTGTATTTACCTGAGGCAGCTGTTTGGCAATGTCCCCACCTACAAAGACGGCTTCCAGATAGACCCACAGGTTCTGGACCACCAGCCACTCTTCTATGATATCCGAGGAAGTGGACAATTTAAATACCCAATTCTGGATATTTTTTTTGAATGGAGCATTATATCTAAAAAGGGAGAATATGAAACATGTTTCAGATTGCTGTGAGGATGGTCTGTCGCTGGTGCAGGGGGAGGATTTGCAGACCTATTTGGGGCTTCACAGGTATCTGGAGGAGGGTCTCCCGGAATAAAGAATTTCTCAAATAACCATGTACTCCTTTGCAGGACTCTCGGCACTGCTGGAAACTGGTTCCCAGTTGAACTCTCCTCCCAGAGAACTGTGAAAAACATTGAGTTTTGTGGTGTCGTAAGTTATGTGCAAGTAAGTATAAGATTCAGGGATTCACATGCAATGCTCTCCTCTAGCTTCCCTAGGCACCTGCATCCATGTGGCATACATGCAAATACACACAGGTACACATATATTAAAAAAACAAAAACCTACTGCAATTAGCTAGGAGCCCTGAGGCTACAAATGCTCAAACCAAAGACCCAAACCCCTTGGCTGCTGTCATTCTTTGGGTCACCCTACAGCCTGTTTGCAAGAGGCTGCCGGCCATGAAAGTCAGGATGGCCGATCTGCAGCGGCCCAAGGGAATTGCCAGCCTTGAAATCTAAGAGCCAATGATTATGCTGCAATCATCTTTGCTACTCAGTTTGAATCAGTTTGCGACTCAGCTGAGTGCTCAGCTGCAAACAGCGGATCTTCTCCTCGGCACATCCAAGCCACAATTCCATGACCCAGGATCTGTAAAGACTACACATATTCAAACACAGGCTGGGGTCCGAGGTCACGTGGGCCGCCAGTCACTAACCAGGGATCCCATCTTAGAGAGTGAGAATGGCCATTGACCTCCGCTGCTGATGGAGCTGCCACACACAGATGTAAGGGAGAGAGAACAGCCAAGAAAGCCTGGACCTGGAGAGACGGCTCAGGGGTCAAGAGCACTGGCTGCTCTTCTAGAAGACCCAAGTGCAGCGACCAACACCCGCATTGGATGGTTCCCAACCATCTGTAACTCCAGCTCCAGAAGGTTCAATACCCTCTTCTGGACTCCATGGACTCCTGTGCACATGAGGCATACACACAGACTGATAAACACGTACATATTTTTTTTAAAAAAAAGAACAAAACATATCGTGATCAGCTACGAGGGTGGAGGTTGCAAATGCTCTCTCTGGGTGACAGCTACAACAAGGAATGACAAATCAGAGGAGATAGGAAGAGGCCACCTTGATGGGCAACTACTTGTTGAGCTGCCGGCGCTGGGGCTGGGTACCTCTGAAGACAGATGGAGTGGGCCACGGCTCTGAAGGAAAGCAGACACTGGGTCCAGGCAGGCACAGACAAAAGCTTGGAAGGTTAGGGCACAATCTGACTTAATGCCCCAGCTACAAAATTAGGTTTTTACCTAGCAGTTTGTGGTGCTAAAGCCCAAATGTAATTCTAGCCGTGAATTATAAAATTACCTGTTGCTCAGCAAGGAACCTAAGACCATCAAGCTGTCCTCCATCAGAGTGATGATTTCTCCAGACTCGGTCCCTTTGAGCAGGAGCTCACCTTTCCCCTTAAATGCAGCAAAACTCAGGTTTTGGTTGGTCCAGTTCTCAATCACCTGCGTCAGCTTGGCTTCAATATCCTTCTCCTTAATGGCAGAGATGCAGATATCCTTCGGAGGAAGGGAGGAGAGTCAGGACGTTCTCGACAGCAAGTTAGGTGCATCATAAAAATCATAGCACGTGTAGCACAGAAGGGACCAGAGGCGCCTTTGCTCAGTGAGTTAACTAGCAGCTGAGAAAGCCAAGGTTCCCATGCCGTGGGTTCCCAAGAAACCCAGAGAAGGCAGACAGGTGAGAGGGCCCAGCCCGATGACGTCAGCCCAAGCTCCTGGAGCCCACCTGGCAGAAGGAAAGATGACTCCCGGAAGTTGTTCTGTACCTCCTACATGCTCACACAGCATGCGCAAGGACACACACATACACGGCAAGCACATGGAAACACATATACACGGCATGCACATGGACACACACATACACAGCATGCACAGGGACGCACATATACACAGCATGCACATGGACACACACATACACGGCATGCACAGGGACACACACATACACGGCATGCACAGGGACACACACATAATAAAACATCTATGGAAGCCATGGAGGGAGAGAAGCAGATACAGGCCCGCTCCTACGGTGGAGAATTGGCAAAGGAAAAGATAAAAGAGAGGTCTTGGCAGTCAGGAAGGGGAGGGGCAGACACCAGGATCCAGAGGGACAGGAGAAAGGAGCCCTAGTGTCACACAGCTGAGCATGGGGACCAATCTTCACAATGGTGCCGTGTATTTAATGAAGAACCTGCAAAGGGGGACTCAAAACCACAAACAGAAGGATATGATAAAGAGATAGAGAGAACTGTTAAGTGCCCTGCCCTGGCCGTGACACACTCTGTTCTTATACTGAATCCTCATTCTCAGCTCCATAAATATGTGCAATTATCTGTAAGAGTAAACAGTAAAAATAAAATAATGTGGGGACTGAAGAGATGGCTCAGTGGTTGAGAGCAATGGCTGCCCTTCCAGAGGACCCGGGTTCAATTCCCTGCACCCACCTGGCAGCTCACAACTGTCTGTAACTAGTCCCACTGGTCCTGACACCCTCACACATGCAGACAAAACATCAATACCCATAAAATAACTAAATAAACCTATAAAAATAAATAAGTAAGTAAATAAATAAGTAGATAAGATGTTGGAGCTGGAGAGATTCTCGCTCAGTGGTTCCCAACCACACCAGGCAGTTCAGAACCGCCTATAACTCCAGCACCAGGGGATCTGACGCCCTCTGCTGGTCTCTGGAGACACTTATACCCGAGCACACATGCCCACACATAGCCCATCACACGTAAACACGTGATGTAAAATCAAATGTTTCCTTGAGAAGTCACAGAAAAGAAAAAGCCGACCTTCCTTAACGGCCCGCTGAGACCTTATTCTCTTACACACCTCGATATCGTCCTTATTTTTAAGGAGCGGCGCTTCCATGATATTCCTCAGACAAAACGAGTCCGATTCCACGTCGAACGGGGTGCCGGTGAGCTCCGAGATGCGGTCCCAGTGCCTCTGCTTCATGGCTTTGTTGGTCATCATTTCCAGCAGAGGGCACGACTCACTGAAGTCGTCGATTCTTTTCTTGAGGTCCAGAAAAGCCTGCCAATCTTTCAGTCCTTTGGGAAGTTTCCGACATCTTTCAGGAAGAAAAAGGGAAAAGGTAGAGTTCTAGACTCTCACCTGTACAGTGGTTGTTTGTCAGTTTTGGTTTTGAAGAAAGTTAATTTTTTTCCCTTTGAAGAAAGTGTTATGAACAGACAACAATAATATAGCTTGTGAGGCATCTTTTAATTTTCATTGTATGCGTATGAGCTTTCTGTCTGTATGTCTGTGTACTATTTATGAACCTGGTGCCCGGGGAGGACAGAAGAGGACATTGGATCCCCTGGAAGATGGCTGAGAGCTACCATGTGGGTGCTCAGAAGAGAACCTAGGTCCTTTGGAAGAACATCTACAACTTTTGATTGCCGAGTTATCTCTCCAGCCCCCGAGATATCTCTTTTTAAGACTTATTTTCTCTTGGTGGGGGTGTCATTATGTGGTCATGTGCACCATATGCATGCAGTACCCAGGGAGACCAGAAGAGGGTGGCCTAGAGTTAAAGCCACAAGTGGTTCTGAACCAATGGGTGGCTACCAGGAACTGAACTTGCAAGAAGCACTCTTAACCCCTGCGCCATTTCTCTAGCCTCAGTTTGTAAACTGCCTAACGGGGGCCTTGTAAGATAGGCACGGTAAGAAAGCAGGCTAATGGAACCCAGGCTCACCTGTTCTGGAATTCCAGCAGCTCTGCATTGATTTTTTCAATATCTACATCTCCCCAAAGTATCTCATAGTAACCACTGATGCTGCCCATGACAGTGTCGTACAGGCCATACAGCTTCTGAAGCAAGTTCAGTTCTTTCCTGAGGAATAAAATCATCACGTGTGTAATGTCTCTCAACACAAGACGCACACAGCAGCAGTGCCTTCCAATACACAGCCTTTGCTGAAGCCACTCAATGAGGTCGAGGCCCATAAAATCCGAAGTCGTAGACTCACTCAGCATGAACAGATGCTTTGAGTATTTTGTAAAGGACGAACCTGGACCCTTTTCTAACTCTGAGTCACACGCTACAATGCTAGTTTCCTTGTTTGCTGCTGTCCTTTTGTTTGTTTGTTTTCTGGAGATAGAGTCTCACTGTGTAGCTCTGGCTCGCCTGGAACTCACTCTGTAGACCACGCTGGCCTTGAACTCACAGAGATCCCTCTGCCTCTGTCTCCTGAGTGCTGGGATTAAAAGTGTGCATCCTCACACTTTAGTTACTCTATTTTTCAAATTTTAAAATCACTGTCCTTTTCCATGACACTGTCCTTAGGAAAGACTGCACTTTCCCTCGGAGGTGTAAAATAGGAGGGGGAGGGAAGAACTTTTATGTTTTCCACAGGGTGATATCACAGTGGAAGATCACTGCTCTGTCACCCTCAGGTGGCAGGCTATGTTTCAGCAAAACACAGGAAGAGAGCGCCGAAGACACTATTTCTGTGTCTTCCATTTGTGTAGCTTGTACTTACTGTGGCCGAGAATTCAGAATTACTCAGTGACTTCCTAAAACAGCATAGAAACAGATTGACAATGCACATGAGCTCATCAAACTCGATAACTTGTGAGGAATGATAGATTTCAGGGGCCAGCAATGTGGCTCAGCAGATAGAGGGCCCTATCTTTAGCCAAGCCTGAATTTGAACCCTGGGTTCATGGGTCCCACATGGTGGAAAGATATAATCAACGTAAGTCGTTTTCTGATCTCGACATACATGCTGGGGCGCACACACACACACACTTAAAAATAAACAAATGTGATTTAAGTTTTAAATAAAATACAATTTCACCATAAAAATGATCCATGTGCTAGGCCAAGTGGAGCTCGCCTTCAATCCCAGCTCTTAAGAGGGAGAGGCAAGCATAGATCTCAGTGAGTTTGAGGCCAGTTTTGAGGCCAGCCTGGTCTACAGAATGAGTTCTAGGGTAGCCAGGGCTATTACACAAAGAAACCCTGTCTCGGAAAAAAAAAAAATGGTCCATTAGTCAGATGGCTACATGCCCTGCTGTACTGGAGATTGTCATAAAGGATCTCGCACCAAGAGTGTAAGTAAGAATTATTCAATGATCATGTAAAAGTGAAGATTTTCTAGAACCCTACCTTAGATAGCCTAATTCAATGAGCCATAGATGAGAGCCAGACAGCTGAAATTCTAACATAACTGGTGAATGGGTTACTCTCAGGGACTGGTGTTTTAGAAGTAAAACCATCTACCCTAAATGGCTGAATCACTCATTTCTCTTCTAAAAACATGGTTGTAATACCCACCCGCTTCGAGTGCTGGGGATCAAACCCAGGGCCTCACACAGGCTAGGCCAGCGCTCTACCGTGAGCCATGCCCCAGCCTTAATGCTGCTTCCGAGAAAAGAGTATGTTAACTATATCTTGTTTAAATCCTAGATACATTGCTTAAAATCAAGCAAGTTATTTAACCACTAATTTCAATACCATCTATGTCTACACTATGAGGCAGAGTACCCTTGACATAAATGTAGTCAGAAGGGAAATCAAAAGCACTGGGGTCAAAAATCACAGTACTTCTGACTCACTGATACTGTACAGAATTAGTAAAAAGAGAAAGTAAGTCTTAAGCTAAGTTTATGTGAGACCGGAATTACTGAAATGGACTCTCCACCTTCTCCAGAAACGTTCTTTTGCACACAGCTTTGACTTTTCTGTTGATAACATACTCTGGGGAAATAACCTCCAGGAAGGAAGGAGATTGAGGTTCTGGTCCTTCAGAGAGAGGAAGTTGAGGAAGTTGGTCACAGGGATCCACAGTCAAGAAGAACAAAGTGATGAACTCTGCCTTCCCCCTTATATACAGTGTAGGATCCCAGCCTAGGGAGTGATGCCACCTGGAGTGGGAGGGTCTTCTCATTTCAGTTAGCCAGACAGTCTGCCATGGGCATGGCCTGGTGGGGTCCATCTCCCATATGGTTCTAGATCATCAAGCTGACAGCTGACACAAGCCACCATAGAGGCTATGCAGGTATCTAGCAAGTCAGATGTATCAGGCATCAGGGGAATATTTAAGGTGCATGCTGAGCCATGTTTTCTGCGTATGTACCTAGTGATTTACTTGGGATACTCGCACATTGGCAGAACTTACCTGATTTTATGCAAAATCTCATAGTCAGTCACTGGTAATCCAAAAAGTTGTTCCCCAGATGAGTATGTAACAAATTTCCTCCATAGATCATCAAAATTGGCCTATTACAAAGATTTTAAAGTTTTACTGGCATAGAATTAATTGAAATCCCATTAAAGTATCATTTATTATAATTGAGAGAAAGGGTAATACGTGTGAAGGGTTTTGTGGGGCAAATTTATTCTGACCCAAGTCACCAGAGGAAGGCAGAGCACTTGGGATAGCAGCTTCCAAGCTTTCTGCACACATCTATTTTATATTAAATTCATTCTTTAATGAACTAAGTGGTCTCCAGAAATGCTATATTTCAAGTCCCTGTCTGCTCATTTGAAAGGAATAAAATGATATTTTTAAAAATCTGTAATTCAGGCTTTTTCACTACTTTAAACTAGCAACCTCTCTCTCCCACTGGACTCAAAAATGAGGAAAGCATTGCATAGCTCAATAGAGCCAGCCTGTTTTCTCTATATGCAATACGGCCTATAAAGCAAAAAATTTGATTGTAACACCAAGGAACTGACACACATCTTTTCCTTCCTTAAATTTATTTTATTTTTAACTATGTGTCTGTGTGTGTGTGTGTGCATGCGCGCGCGCATGTGTGTGTGATGCCTGTGGAAGCTAGATGACGGTGTCAGATTCCCCCAGAGCTGGTGTTGCAGGTGGTCGTAAGTCACCAGGAGGGTGCTAGGAACCAAACTCAGGCCCTCTGTAAGAGCAGTTAAAAAAAAATACTAACTTCTGAGCCATCTCTCAAGCACCCTCATTTTTTTTAAATTTTTAATTAAAAATTGAATAGCATATATGTGATTGCTAAAATATGAACCACGAACAAAGCATGGATACAACAGTAGTGACTCACCTAGTGCAATCTAAGCACGCCACAGAAGTCCGTTCTCCACAGAGTGAGCATCTCCCTAAATGCCCCCCCACCTCTCACTGTTGAGTCTGAAAACGGGGGCGGGGAGGGGGATTTCCTCTTTCTATGAGTATTTCACCTCTCTTTTTTTTTTTGACAAAGTCCATAATTTTCATTATGATTTGTTAGTCAAGACCTGTCTGTACATAAACGGTAAATTCCCCTTCCTCTGCCTAACTCTAATTATTCCTCCACAATGCATTTGAGATGCCTCTCCTTCTGGGGAGCCTTCTCTGCTTGCCCCAGTAGTGCCCATCTGGACTGGGAAAGCCCATAGACCTGCGACCGACTTCCAGGTTTCCGGAACTAGATCGCGGCACTTGCAGGGTGACCTCAGACCCCTGTCCTCTAGTCTGCTATGTTCTTGTCAGACTTCAGCAGCTCAGCAAAAACAACCACTTCTAAGTGAATCTTGGATTTATTTATTTATTTTCATCTTATATGTATGAGTGTTTGTCTGCATGTCCATATGTCCACTGTATGTGTGCAGTGCCTAACGTGACCAGAAGAGGCCGTTGGAACCCTGAAACTGAAATTACAGATGGTTTTGAGTCACTGTATGAGTGCTAGGAACTAAACCCAGGCCCCTGCAAGAGCAGCAAATGCTCTTAACCACTGAGCCGTCTCTCCCGCCATCTCTCCTGCCATCATCCCCCTTCAATGACTGAGAGTGGAGGAGGGACAGGAAACATAAAAATGTTTTATAGGAATATACTGTAGGAGCTAGGGTTTGTAAAAGTGGGGAACATAAGCAGAGAACAGACTTCCTCAGGGCTCGTAGGAGGCAAATCCATTGAGTACTCCATGAATCTAGAAAACATTCATCCAAATGGATGTGTTATTTTTCTCAGGATGTTCTCAGCAACTGGAGGACATAGAAAGATGATGGATGGTTGATGTGACCCAAAGGAATATTATGCAGTCTGGACCACGGGAGTTTTCAAGTACGCAGATTAAAGGAAGACTGGTGCTGAGAATAAAAGCTAGGCAGGAACGTGACTACCCAATATTTAAACTCTTAAGCTGATAAAATGTATTGTACTATCCGTCTTCCTCACTTCACATATCAAAAGAGCTGCTAGGAAATAGGACAAAGTATGCAGTTCACAGTCAAGACATCAACCTGTAACATACTGAGATGCTGTGTACAGCCTGGAGGGAGGGATAGATAGAGTACAAAGCTGGGTATAGTAACCAAAACCAGTAATCCCAGCACTGGGGAGATAGGGGCCTGGCTTGGTGGACAGCCTAGTCTTCTTGGTGAATTCCAAGCCACTATCTTAAAAAGGAAAGAAAAGAAAAGAAAAGAGAAGAGAAGAGAAGAGAAGAGAAGAGAAGA